GAGTGCCTGGCCGGAGGCAGGGGCACGGGCTCATGGACCTGAGTTGGCCCTCTGGCTTTGTGTCATCGGGGAGCAGGAAAGGGTGTCCTGCTGCCTTGGCACCTGGGGGGGGTCATGTTGCTGGAGGTGGGAGCCTGCAGTGGGGCCTCAGGTCACGGGGCGTGGGCTCTCTGCAGTGAGCTTAAACGGGGCAACGTGACCACTGTCATGGAGACCATTGGCCGGAGGCTTCGGGACTCCCTGGGCCAAGGTGTGGACCTGGGGCTGACCGGGAAGCTCGGAGCCGTGCACCCCAGTGTTGCGGTGAGTGTGCCTGGCAGTGTGCCCCCATGGGGTAGCCCCTTCCCAGAAGGGGTGCTGGGGTGGACTGGCCAGGCTGAGGAGGCCTGAGGCCCCCGTATCTGCCCTGGCTGGCCCGGGTGGGGCAGGCTGGGCACTGGGCGGGGTGCTGAATGAGGTCCTGTGCCCTGGCCCCCCAGGACGGTGCCCACAGGCTCGAGGAGAACGTGTACCACTTTGGCCGCACTGTGGAGACACTGCTGCTTCGCTTTGGCAAGGTGCCTGGGGTCGGGGGCGGGCCATCGTCCACAAGGACGTTTTTGCTTAGCGTTTACTTTTGGGACCAGGCCTAGAATGAAATCTTGGTCGCCATGGTGGGCTGTCAGTCCTGGGGGCCACCTTCCAGGTGGAGAGGCCCCCTGCAGGCAGGAGGGGCAGCCCCAGCCTGGGCTCAGTCAGATCCAAGGACATTGGTGCTGAAGGCGACATTAAGCACTGGCGTCTGGTCTCAGCCAGGTTTCTGGACCTGGTTTGGCCTGGGCTCCTAGACAGAGCTGAGGGAGCCAGCCTCCCACAACCCGCAGGGAAGGCAGCGGGCCCCCTGCCCCCAGGTGGCAAGTCGCCACCCTGCCCTCTGTTCCCAGACCATCGTGGAGGAGCAGCTGGTCTTGAAGCGAGTGGCCAACGTCCTCATCAACCTGTTCGGCATGACGGCCGTGCTGTCGCGGGCCAGCCGCTCCATCCGCACGGGGCTCCGGAACCACGACCATGAGGTGAGCCCCTCCGTGCCAGCTTCCTCCTGCTGCGCTTTAATGAGGCCGGGGGGGAGGGGGAGGGAGGGGGTGAACACGGGCCCACGGCCTCCAACCTGGCCGAGCTGTGGCCCGGTGATGCTCTCAGCTCTGACGGGCAAGTCCATGCTGCTCAGGACACAGGGCCACTGCCTTCCGTCCTCCTGCCTGAGAGAGAGGGAGGGTGAGGGACAGGGGTCCAGCCCAGCGCCTCACCCATCTGCCCTCGTACCCTGCTGGTGGGGTGGGTGCTGCGTGCCCGTGTGGCCTGGGGTGAGGCTCATCCCACAGAGGAGGGAGCTGAGGCCCAGAGTGCTAGGTGACCTCTGTGGGGACAGAGCTAGCGCGGCTCAGGACTGGACTCAGAACCCGAGGCCGAGGCTTCCGAGCCAGGCGGCCTGAGCCTGGGTACACTGCCCGCTTCGGCAGATGGACTGAGTCCTCTGAAGCTCAGGTCAGGTGCAGGGAGGGCTGTCCTCAGGCCCAAAGACCGGGGCTCTCAGCGCGCCTCCTCTCTCACTTGGGTACTGGCAGGTTCTGTTGGCCAATGTCTTCTGCGCGGAGGCTTATTACCAGAATCTCTTCACCCTGTCTCAGCTGGACAAGTGTAAGTTGGGGCTGGCAGGGCATGGGGCCGATGCCAGGTGACAGTTCTGTCCTGCTGGCTGCGCACCGCCTGCTGCCCTGCGTGAGCAGACTCCACCTCCTCACGCCCCAACCCCCGGCTTCCGGCTGTGGCCCGGGGTCTCACTGAGACACGTGGCGAGGCGCTGGCGGCAGGAGGAGCAGCGAATCCCGTGCGGCAGGCACTGTGGGGGTGGAGAGATGGCTCCGCGGCCAGTGGGCTGGAGTCGCCAGGGGTCCTTTCTCCCTGCAGCTGAGTCACTTCCTGGCCTTCAAGGCTCCTTCACAGCGGGTGGGCTGACCGTGTTGGGAAAAGGTGCTCCAGCAAGATTTCTGTTGTCACAGCCAGAAAGGTCACGCGCCCCCCTCTCTCCCTCCCAGATGCTCCAGAAAACCTAGATGAACACATCAAGAAGGTGTCCCAGCAGATCCTGGAGAAGCGAGCCTACCTCTGCACCCACCCTCTGGACCGGACGTCCTGATGCGAAGGGACAGCGTCCCCGCTGCTGCCCGCACCTGGACTCACTCCTTCCAGAAGGTGGAGAACTTGCCTTACTGTGAGTTAGCCGTTTCTCCCAGCCTCCCCCTGACCCATGGGCACTGCTGCCCGACTGACAGGGTCTCAGGCTCTGACCGGATCCAGAGCGCGCGGAGCTGCTCGGACTCCAGGCCCGGAGACTTCCCGGCGGGGACGTGTCTCGGGGGAAAGCCATTCCACCGGACTGCACCTTCCCCAAGCAGCAGCCTGAGAACCGCGTGCATGTCAGTCTTTTAAATTGGGAGCAAAATGCACTTCAAACGTGTACCAGAAACGCTTAACAAAAACGAACATAAAACAGCAGCCGGCATTTGCTGTACTAGTCACGTGTTTGCTCAACCTGCCTGACCCCAAGAGCCACCCTCTGGTGACGGCTTCCCGGTCCGTTCGTCCTCGCCCTGCGTGAAGACGGCTTGCACAGCTGAGGGTGGGCCCAGGCCCGAGGGTCAGCAGCCCCGACATCCTTCTCAGGTGACGGGTGGGAAACCGCGTCGCT